TTGGACCACTTCTGCGAGCTGCGCCCCGACCGCTGCTGCGAGCCCTACCGCTGCCGCGATCCCCGCCACTGCTGCGAGCGCCCCCAACGGTCGCCCTTCGCCCCCCAAGGGCAATTCCCCTGGCCCCACTCTTCCACCAGCGGGGCGCCTCCCACACGCCCCCGCACATCCCGCCGACACCAACGGAAACGCCCGCCTCTTCCCATCGCTTTGCCAACCACCACTCTTCATCCGCCACTGCGTCGCGCCCCCTGGGTTTGCCTCCGAGGCGCCCTCCTCCTGCCACTCCGGGCGCTTCCCCCGCGCCCTCTTGCGCCGGCTGTTCGGGCGCCCGTCGCCCTCGCGCGCGCAATGTTCGTTTCCTGGGAACCCTCCATTATCTCCTCCTGGCGCTTTCCGTTACTATGTTTCTTGGCACATGCATGTATACATATATTCCTATTTCTATACTTCTATAAAGCCGGGAACCCCGGACAGACCCCGGACGGAGCCCCCCCCCAAGCGAGTTTCGGGTTTCCCCGAGATTTTCGGGCGGCCCCAGAGGCGCCCCAGACGGCCCGAGATACTCCCAAGAGGGGGCCACGAGCGCCCCAAGACAGCCCAAGAGCGCTCCAAGAGACCCCAGGACCGCCCAAGTCCGTCCAAAGGGGCCCCGAGACGCCCCGAGAGGCCTCCAAGAGGCTTCCCAAGAGGGCCCCAAGAGGGAAATGTCATTGATTGTTGCATGGTTGTCAGAAGTTGCCCTGGCCCTCCCTTTTCCAAGCCAACATCGGCCCGAACCGGCCCAAGAGGCTCCAAAGATCGCCCCAAGATAGCCCCAGAGGCCCCCCGAAGAGCCCGAAAACGGCCCATGAGAGCCCCAAGACAGCCCACAAGACGGGCCCAAGAGAGCCCCAAGAGCGCCCAAAGAGGCACTCAAGACGGTCCCAAGACGCCGCCAGGAGAGCCCCACGACGGCCAAAGGCCTCAAAGACGCCCCAAGACGGCCCAAAGGGACCCCAGGACGACCCAAGAGAACCCCAACAGGGCCCTAAAAGGGATCCAAAAGAGCCCCAAGAAGACTCCCAAGAGTCCTGGCAACGCAATTGCGGCGGCGCTCGCGATGGCAGCGGTCTCCCCCTCTCATTCTCCCTTTCGCATGTCGTCGTCTTCGTCGTTGTCGTCGTCGTCGTCGTCGTCGTTGTCGTCGCTTTCGTCGTCGTCGTCGTCGTCGTCAGCGTCGTAGCCGACGTCGTAGTCATCGTCGTTTTCATCGCCATCGTCGTCGTCATGGTGGACGTCGTCGTCGTCGTCGGCCTCGTCGCCCCTGTCTCGACCGGCCCGCCGGCTCGGCCGGCCCGCCGGCTCAGCTCGGCTCGGCTCGGGTCGGCGGCGAAGGAGCGGGAAATGAAGGATGAGGGAAGGAAAAGGTAGGGAATGGAAGACATTGTCAGATCGACAACCACGAAAACGGCAACAAGGCGTTATCGCTTTCTTTAACTATCTACATATCTGTCATCCCGCCTGCTTGCTCAACTTGAAGGACCACGATAGTCCGGCCACTTTCGCCTCAGACCCTCGAGTTGCGAGATGCCCGGAGCAGCTGGTCAGGCCACTACCACCTGAGATGCGAACGTGTGCACGCGCACATAGTTACACAGACCATTTGCATATACATGTACATACCCATATATACGTATAGTTATATTACAGATGTAGTGTGTTCCATAAGCGCATGCGCGCGCATGCACGAACGCCCGCACTCCGCTAGCGTGTCAAACTATAGGAAGGACCAAGGTGCATGGCGCGCAACGCCAATGCAGTCTCGTATATATATAGGCATATATACATACATACATACATACATACATACATACATACATACATACATACATACATACATACATACATACATACATATAGACATATACAGATGCATACACATGTAGACGTGATGCACTGTGGGCTCTTGACAGACTAGCCGCTAGAACAACGCTAATGGTTGTAGCGCTGGTCCTTTTTGCGTTCGCGCGTTTAGGCCCGGCGCGGCGTAGCTTCATTTGTGTTAGCGTTTTGCCCCCGCCATCCTGTGGTGTTGGGGCATCGTTTTGAAGAAACAGCGCCCCGCGTTCCTCCTCCTCCTCCTCCTCTCCTCTTCCGCCCCCCCCCCCCCTCCTCCGCGGTTCGCATGCGCCCCCCCCCCCCCCGCGCCAACCCACCCCACCCGGTGGAGCGCTTCGTGGCCCCAGAGGGAACCCCAACGAAGGATGCAGCGGCGCAGCTCGCATGCGCCCCCACCACCCAGCACGGCGCTTCCTGGCCCCAGGGGGAGCTCCACCCGAGGCCCCTGCGGCGCAGTTCGCGCGCGCCCCACCCACCCAATACAATACTTCGTGGCCCCAGAAGGAGCCCCACCGAAGGTCCCAGTGGCGCAGTTCGCATGCGTCTCCCCCGCCCAGCGCAGCGCCTCGTGGCCCAAGAAGGAGCTCCACCGAAGGCCGCAGTGGCAAAGTCCGCATGCGCCCCCCCTGCTTACTACAGCGCTTCGTGGCCCAAGAGGGCGCTCCACCGAAGGATGCGCTGGCGCAGTTCGCATGCGTCTCCACCACCCAGCACAGCGCTTCTTGGTCCCATGGGGATCTCCACCCGAGGCCCCTGCGGCGCAGTTCTCATGCGTCTCACCCACCCAATGCAGCGCTTCGTGGCCCCAGAAGGAGCTCCATCGAAGGTCCCAGTGGCGCAGTTCGCATGCATCTCCCCCGCCCAGCACAGCGCTTTGTGGCCCCAGAGGGAGTTCCACCGAAGGTCCCAGCGGCGCAGTTCGCATGCGTCTCCCCCGCCCAGAACGACGCCTCGTTGCCCCAGAGGGAGTTCCACCGAAGGCCCCAGCGGCGCAGTTCGCATGCGCCCCCCCCCCCTCCCCCCCCGTGAATCGGGGGAGCTCCGGACACACCCGCCACACGCGTCGGGAGCAGCAGCATTCAGCTAGCCGCTTAGAACCGGCCCTCCAGCCATGTGAATCAGGCAGCGTAGCATCAGCATCAGCAGCATATGGGAGAGCATGCTGCGCATTGAATGAATTTGAGTTCCAGCACGCGTAGTTACAAGTTCCCGTGGTGCTGCCCCTATGTCTGCACGCGTAGTTACAAGTTCCCGTGGTGCTGTCCCTAGCACGCTGGAGAGAGGAGGAGTAACGTACTTTTTGGAAGATCTTGATCCCACAAAGTGGGATAACGCATGTTGACCGTGGGCCGACTTTGGCCTTGGTTGGCACGATAGCTTGCACCGCCATGTGTCTCAAGATCTCTGGGGGCTCAGCGGCAACGCCGCCTCCAGGGATGGGTTGCAATGTATTTTGCACTCTAGGTCAGCAGCTTCAGGCCGACTTTCGCCGTAACGCTGCACTTCGGCTCAAGATGCGGAGTCTGGAGGAAAGAGACTCTTCCGCCCCAGGCGTGGTGAAGCGGAGGGCGGAGCCTCAGCGGCGACGCAGGCTCCTCCTCCGCCTAGCCACGTCAGTGGGCACCCTCTTACGTTTGCACCTCCGCTACCCTCACAATCCCAATACTCGACACTCATTCCCCATCCCGCCAGCACTGGCACTTCATATTCTCAAGCTCCTGAGCGAGGGGACCGAGGTATCGGAATTGGTGGAACACGTCGAGACCACAGTGGGCCCGACCAGCCGGACCCGAAGCAATAAACAGAAGAAATGAACCCTTGGGGTGGACAATACCCTGCGCACTACCCAGTGGGCGACCACGAGGCGCTCACAAGGGTTATGAGCCCAAACCAACGACTTGGGGTTCATCATGATACCTCATCGAGTACGGCATCTACATGGTTGATTCGCACGTGCAAATGCTGCGGGGACGTGGTCACGGGGCCAACTGTGCCTTGCCCGGCCTGCGGGCAAGTGCACGGGCATTGCACTGTTGCACGTGCTGGGCACGCCGTCTGCACGGAGTGCGCGAACGAGATGGACTTCGCGTTCGCTCACCACCAGGCCGCCCGCCGATTCCAACAGCATGGGATCGGGTTCGGCTGGCTGATGTCCTCCAGTGGGCAATTGGCGGGCCAGGCGATCGGTTCGGTCGCTTCGGGCACGATCTCCGGCGCTGCTCGGCTGGTGAGCGGCTGCGCAGCTGGAGCCAGGAGTGCTTGGACAGGAGCGCGCGCGGTGGAGCTCGTGCTGGCGACTGCCGCCGAGCCCCACGAGGCGCCAGCTGTGCTCCGCCCCAGGGCCCTCGAGGAGTACTACGGCGCCTCGGAGGCAGGGAGCGCGAGCGCAGGAGCAGCAGGAGCAGCAACAGCGACTGCGGAGCTCATGACGGAGTTCCGCCGGATGCGGCAGGAGCTGAATGACCTCAAGGCCGAGAACCAGCGCCTTCGCGATGGCACCGCGGACGGTGCGGAAGGTGCGGGCCAGGAGGGACCAGGATTTGCAACGCCTAGCCAGAGGACTGAGGACAAGACCTCGGCAGTGGCAGCGTCAGGTAAGGAGGAGGAGGAGATAGATAGGCTGCTCAACATCGTGGGGGCCACGGTGGACCAGCAGGTGAGGCAGGAGAGTCGCCAGGACGATGGCGGTGCTGCGGCGGTTGAGCCCGCGGCGACGGCAGCTGAACAGACAGGAGGCTGCCAGGACAACCCCCCAGGCCTGGGAAGCATGGGCACGGCGCCCGCCAAGAGGCAGGAGGGAGGCGGAGGACCTTTTCCTCCTCATCTCGGAGCTCAAGGTGTTCAGGGCGATCTTCTTGGAGCTGCGGGCGTTGGAGGGCTTGGAGGACAGGGAGGCCTAGGAGGAGAAGTTTTTGGACCACCTGGAGGCTGCGGAAGACCGGGAGGAGGCCTAGGAGGAGAAGTTTTTGGACATCCTGGAGGCTGCGGAGGGCATCCAGGAGGTTTCGGAGGACATCCAGGAGGCCGCGGAGGACATCCAGGCGGCTGTGGAGGAGCAGGAGGACCAGGCGGAGGAGGCTTCGGGCCGCCCGCAGGCGCAGGAGGACCTGAGCGCCCCGATGGCTTTCCAGGAGCCCCTGGAGGAGGATCTCCGGGACCCCCTCCCCCGCCGCCACCTTTCGGCAGTGCTGCTGGACCCGCTGATGGCGGTGGCCCGCAGCGAGACGCGTCTCTGGAAAGCACGCTGGCCAAGTTGAAGGCCGCGGAGCTCCCGAAGTTGGAGTGGAAGGGGGTGTTAAGGAGAAGCCGGGCATCTTCGAGAGCTGGCTTCAACGCATCACCATGGACCTCGGCGGCATGCACTACCTCATCGAGCGGCACTGGGAGAAGGTGCTGGAGGTCGTGCAGGACGCCTACATGAGCTATCTTCGGCATGGGCCGTTGGATCGCCCTGCGATTCGTCCTGCTCAGCCCCGTCAGTGGATTGATGCCGGGCTGGACGCTGTAAATTTCAACAGTTGCGAGTTGAGGTTAAGAGGGATCTTGATGGCGTTGGTGCCAGATGGCGTCAGGCAGGCGTGCTTGAGCACGAGGCAGACGGCGACCACCGACATCGTTTTCGCCGCCTACGTGGACGCAGGCCCGAGGACAGGAACTGACAAGGACTACACGCTGAACGCCGTGAACACGGCGAAGGAGGTGGATACGAGGCTGGTGTACGAGGAGTTGCAGAAATGGAAGTTCGCAGCGACTCGTCTTGCTCGGATGGGCGTGACGCCGCCGGACCCGAGTCGACAGCTGGCCTCGCTGAAGAAGATCGTTAACTGGATGCTCGAGAAGGACCAGGAGGTCAAGCACTGGTACTTTGCGTTCATCGTGAGCCGCAACATGACAGGAGGTCTCATCAGCCAGGCTCAAGTGGATGAGTTGTGGCGCTACCTGCCGGCCGAGGCTCGCGAGTTCGCCGGCGCTGGCCCTGATAAAGAGAAGTTGGACCCTGCTGCCAAGGCCGCCAGAGCGGAGGCAGCACGACTCGCTAGAGCCTCCAAGGGGGATCCGAAAGGAGGTAAAGGGGACCCCAAAGGAGGTAAGGGCGACCCGAAGGGCAAGGGCGACAAGGGCGGCAACGGCGGCAAGGCCAAGACCGACCAGAGCGCATCCGGGAGCCCTCCCAAGAAGGTCTGCACCTTCTTCGAGACGGCCGAGGGCTGCTCGAAGGGGGCACTGTGCACGTTTGGCCACCGCAAGTTGGCCCCCAGCGATGGGAAGTGCTTCAACTGCGGCGCGACGGCTCACAAGTCGTCGGAGTGCACTCGGCCAAAGGCGGCGGCGAAGGCAGCGCCGGCTCCTCCCTCGAATGCCCAGGCGTCTTCCCCGACTCCGAAGACTCCGACGGGCACGGTCGAGCAGGTCGCGGCGCAGACGGCCCGAGCTGAAGTTCGTGCTGAGCTGTTGAGCCTGCTGCAGATGGGGGACGCGCTGCAGCCTCCATCGACCTCGCGGGCTGCTGTTGCCAGCGATTTCTGGGACTCGGTTCCGATGTCCCCGGAGGCCTCTCCGAGAACATCCCGCACGGACGGCCCCGCTGCGAGGACAGTGAGCGTCCGCGCGAAAGTGATGACGGCCGGCGGCAAGCGGATGCTGCTGGCGGATACCGGAGCCACCCATGAGCTTCGAGGAGTGCGGGACCTGACCGACGTTCACCCCCGAGCTCACGACGTGAGGCTGAAGACGGCCACCGGAGAGCAGCCCGCCAAGATGCACGAGGAGATCGTGTACGTGAAGGGCGAGGGCCTCCAGGAGCTGTTCCCGCTGGCAGCATACATCGAGCAGCTGGAGCTCGAGATGGTGTGGAACACCGCGGAGTGCAAGGTTCGCATGCGCGATGGTCGGGAGTTGCATCATCATCGCGATGGCGGCTCGATCTATATCTCGGAGGAGGACGCCGACGTGCTCAGGACAGCGCGGCGTGCGCAGCAGAGGCACACATTTCGAGCGAGGCTCGTCGCCTTGGCTCGCAACCTTCATGGGGCGGCCGAGCTTCAGAGGCACCGCGAGGAGGGGCACTTGAAGTTCCTCGCTTCGTGCAGGGAGTGCCGAGGAGCGGCAGGGCGTCTGAGGCAGCACTTCAGGCACGATGTCTCTACCAGACCTGGTGGCCAGCTGAGCGTTGACCTCTCGGGCCCTCACTTGCCAGGGAGGTGGCCCTCAGGGCGGCCGGAGGACGTCCCGAAGCAGGCCGTCCACTTCGTGCTGGGCGCGTTCTCGGTGATGAGCGAGACGGAGATGGAGGTGTTGCGGAAGCGCGAGGAGGATGCTAGGAGAGGTGCTGCTGCTGGAGGTGCTCTTCAGGACGAGGGGCAAAGGGCAGAGAGCAGTGGTGACTTAGCTGCGCGAGTTGCCGCCGCGTTCGGGGTGGATTCCTTGGACGGGCTCTGCTTGCCGGTGAACGCGGCGACTGTGAGACCAGCGGCCGAGGAGGAGGAGGCAGCTGGCGACGCAGCCCCAGAGGGAGGAGGTAAAGCAGAGGAGAAGCAAAAGGAGGGGCAGCGCGAGGCCAAGAAGACGTGGTACTACGTGCTCCCGCTGGAGAACAAACAGGCTTCGACTTGCATAAAGGCCCTCGAGCGCATCATCGCCCAGATCCGCTCCGAGTTCGAGGGCGCGGACGTGGTGTACAGGATCCACGGGGGCCGGGCGAGCGAACTCACAGGGACGCTGGTGAAGGAGCACTTCGCCAAGAAAAAAGTGGTGGTAACATCCACGCCTGGCTTCGAGGCCGATGCAAACGGCCGCGCCGAGAAGGGAGTGGGCCTCACGAAGCTGAGGGCTCGCGCAATGCTGCTGTCCTTCGAGAACGTGGAGGACCGCCAGGCTGCGTGGCCGATGGATGCGGCCTGGTGTAGCCGCATGGAGGCGCAGGGGCGCGAAGTGAGGTGTCCTGCATTTGGCGACCGGGTGACGTCTCGCGTCAAGGACGTGCCCTGGTCGATGCTGTCCGAGAGGGCCGTGGAGGGTATTTTCTTGGGCGTGGACCTTGAATCGCCCAACGCGTGGCTTGTTGGTCGCAAGAACGTCAAGCAGAAGCGACCATAGCTCAGGTGGATCATCGAATCTTCCAGCTCATTTGTGAAAGTGCCCACGGAGGAGCTGGCGCGAGGAGGGGGGCCAGGAGAAGCAGAGGAGAGCGAGGAGGCAGCGAGGTCTGGAGGAGGACCGGCGGCAGCAGGAGATTAACGTGACGATCGTGAGGAAGTTCTCGGGGAGGTGATGCCAAAGGACATCAGCTGCCCAGCGTGCAGAGGGCAGCATCGGAATCATACGAGGGACGAGCACTGTCGCCTCGGACCGCTCCTCCGAGACGCTGGCGGTGGAGGAGCTTTTGTTCGTGGCGACGGTGATGCATACTCGTGCCCAGCTTGCCGAGGGCGTCATGTGGCTCATACTCGCGACCACCGTTGCCGACGAGGCCCAGGAGGTGCTGGAGCGGCTCGTGCGGCTTCGTCCCATGGCCTCCCTGTCAGCCTTCTGGCACATCATGATGTCATTCGAGATCGCGTTCCGTTCGCGAGCGCTGCCGAGACGAAGCTCGACGACGACGACGACGACGACGACGACGACGACGACGACGAGTTGCCCCTTGAGTACCAGGAGATCGTAAAGGACGGCGGGGCACAAGTGATGAGCCAGAAGTCGGTGAACGCCAGCTTCGGCGAGGAGCGCGAGGGCTGGAGACAAGCGCTCCAGGAAGAGCTGGACTCGTTGCGGGAGAAGGACGTGTTCTGGCCCCTCGGTGCTCGAGAGCGCGGTGGCATCCGTGCCCAGGACATCTTGCCGATGTCGACGGTGTTCGCCAAGAAGCCTCCTGACGAGGCTGGTCTCCAGAGGAAGCGTGCACGAGCAGTGGCATGTGGAAACTTTCAGACGGTCGTGGGCGAGGAGGAGCTCTACACCGCGAATGTCGACATCGGATCGTGCGGGCGTCCCTCGCCCTGGCTGCGACGAGCGGGTGGCACGTCGGAGCCCTCGACGTCAAGACGGCATTCCTCAACGCCGACCTCCCCGTCGACCACAGGGAGATCTTCGTGAGGCCGCCGGCAGCTCTCGTGAAGTTCGGCCTGGTGCCTCCAGGGGAGGTGTGGCGAGCCCAGAAAGCGATCTATGGGCTCCGGGCATCGCCCCGAGCATGGGCTGAGAAGCGGGACCACGAGCTCCTGAAGATGACGGTTGAGCTCGATGGCCGCCGATGCCGGCTGCAGCAGTCGTCTGCCGACCCAGCTGTTTGGGCGGCTCGCGACCAGGAGACCGACGAGACGTTAGGCCCCCTCCTCGTGTACGTGGACGACTTCATTCCAATGGGCCCGAAGGGCTTGGTTGAGGCCCTCAATGCTGCAGTGTCGGAGGTGTGGGCCACGAAGCTCCAAGGAGTTTTTGGGCCGTCGGAGCCTGGCGTGCTCAAGTACCTCAGCGTCGACATCAAGGTTGGCCGCGAGGGGATTTCTCTGTCGCAGTGCGAGTGCACCGAGGACATGCTCCAGAAATGGGGCCTCGGCGCACGCACGCCGACCGGAGGCCTCAACCTCGAGCGCGAGTCTTTCGAGAACTTCGAGGACGACGCGGACGACCCCCCAGAGACGGGCCAAGTCCGGCTAGCCCAGAGGATGGCTGGAGGCCTCCTGTGGCTGGCATCGCGAACTCGGCCAGACATTTCTTTCGCTGTCAATAGGGCCGCTGCGTTGTCCACCAGGCGCCCCGCCGAGGCCCTCATGATAGGCAAGCAGGTCCTTCGATACCTGGCTGGCACCCGTGGCTTCGGTCTGTTTTACGCGGCGGGCGGCGCGGGTGACGCCGGGGAGACCGACAAGATTGCGCTCAAGGTCTACACCGATGCTTCGATGGAGGAGGCCGGCGCCCAGAGCGGGGTGGCGACCACCATGTTCGGCCAGGTCGCGGATTGGAGGCGCACCCGCCAGGCGGTGGGGCCATTCAGCACCGCCGAGGCGGAAGTCGAAGCAATTGCGGTCGGGGAGAGGATGCTGGGAGCTACGAGGGCCACCTTGGAGTCGCTGGGATCCCCAGTGTCGCCGGAGATGCTCGGCGACAACACGGCTGCGAACCTGGCGTCGTCAGGGCAGGGGTCGTGGAGGACCAGGTCTCTGACTACAAAAGTGCACGCGGTGCGCTCGCGCGTGCAGAAAGGTTTGAAGATTACTCAGGTAGGCACCGCTGACCAGCGCGCCGATGGGTTGACCAAGTCAGGCGGCCCGAAGGCGATGTCGACTTTCAGGTCACACATTGGGCTGCGCTCCGTAGTGTGATGCTCCCCGAGATCCCGCGACCTAGGGCTGGTTTGGGCCCTGGTCGCGAAGGCTCCGTGTCCGATGAGGACCGGCACGGAGAGGAGGAGCGTGAATCGGGGGAGCTCCGGACATACCAGCCACACGCGTCGGGAGCAGCAGCATTCAGCTAGCCACTTAGAACCGGCCCTCCAGCTATGTGAATCAGGCAGCGTAGCATCAGCATCAGCAGCATATGGGAGAGCATGCTGCGCATGGAATGAATTTGAGTTCCAGCACGCGTAGTTACAAGTTCCCGTGGTGCTGCCCCTATGTCTGCACGCGTAGTTACAAATTCCCGTGGTGCTGCCCCTAGCACGCTGGAGAGAGGAGGAGTGACGTAGTTTTTGGAAGATCTTGATCCCACAAAGTGGGATAACGCATGTTGACCGTGGGCCGACTTTGGCCTTGGTTGGCACGATAGCTTGCACCGCCATGTGTCTCAAGATCTCTGGGGGCTCAGCGGCAACGCCGCCTCCAGGGATGGGTTGCAATGTATTTTGCACTCTAGGTCAGCAGCTTCAGGCCGACTTTCGCCGTAACGCTGCACTTCGGCTCAAGATGCGGAGTCTGGAGGAAAGAGACTCTTCCGCCCCAGGCGTGGTGAAGCGGAGGGCGGAGCCTCAGCGGCGACGCAGGCTCCTCCTCCGCCTAGCCACGTCAGTGGGCACCCTCTTACGTTTGCACCTCCGCTACCCTCACAATCCCAATACTCGACACTCATTCCCCATCCCGCCAGCACTGGCACTTCATATTCTCAAGCTCCTGAGCGAAGGGACCGAGGCATCGGAGTTGGTGGAACTCGTCGAGACCACAGCGGGCCCGACCAGCCGGACCCGAAGCAATAAACAGAAGAAATGAACCCTTGGGGTGGACAATACCCTGCGCACTACCCAGCGGGCGACCACGAGGCGCTCACAAGCCCCCCCCCCCGCCCAGAACAACGCCTCGTGGCCCAAGAAGGAGCTCCGCCGAGGGCCCCAGTGGCGCAGTTCGCATGCGCCCCCCCCTCCCCCGCTTACCTCAGCGTTTCGTGGCCCAAAAGGGGGCTCCACCGAAGGCCGCAGTGGCGCAGTTCGCATGCGTCTCCACCACCCAAAACAAGGCTCCGCGGCCCCAAAGGGAGCTCCACCCGAGGCCTCTGCGGCGCAGTTCGCATGCGCCCCCCCTCTCCCAGCGCAGCGCTTAGTGGCCCCAGAGGGACAGCGGCGCAGTTCGCGCGCCTCTCCCCCTCTCCCAGCACAGCGCTTGGTGGCCACAGGGGAAGCTCCACACAAGGTCCCAGTGGCGCAGTTCGCATGCGTCTCCCCCACCCAGCACAGCGTTTCGCGGCCCCAGAGGGAGCTCCACCGAAGGTCCCAGTGGCGCAGTTCGCGCGCAACGCTTCGTGGCCCCAAATGGAGCTCCACCGAAGGTCCCAGTGGCGCAGTTCGCATGCGCCCCACCTCTCCCAGCGCAGCGCTTCGTGGCCCAAGAGGGAGCTCCACCGAAGGCCGCAGTGGCAAAGTTCGCATGCGTCTCCCCCAGCCGCCCATCGGGAGCTCCACTCAAAATGATACCCACAACTGCGGCACTCGCAATTGCAGATGGTTGGCTTCGTCGCCAGGCTAATTGCTTTCTTGTTAAAGGCTGATCCTTGTCTGCGCTGCTGTCTTCGCTCCCAACCCCTCGTTCCTGCCGCCCCCCGCCGCCCCCGCCCGGCGCGCAGAGCGCAGATCTAGCAACGCCCTCAAAAACGCCCGAACACCGGCTCAGCGCTGGCGCAACACAGACCCGGAGGCTCCGCGACCAGCCAGCAGCGACGACCAGAGAAGAGCAACATCGTTATAATAAACAGATGAGGAATGGATGCAAAGAGAAGAAACTGACGACGTGGTAGACAGAAGTCTGAAACAGCGCATTCAACTGATCATGAAAACGCTTAAAGAACGGTTATCAAAACCCCAAAAAAGGTTGCCCCTCGCGTTTTAGATGTTATTCCTGGGACCTAAAGGCGCTAAGACATGAGATGCAACACGCCGAGTTTAAACTTTAGAAACGCCCAAGGAACATGCGATAATAAACAAGACCTTCTTCTACGCGCTCCCAGCGCGGCTTTCGCCCTCGCTCGCGCGCCCGCGATTTGTCGTCGGGTCGCCCTCCTTCCGGTTGCCTTCCCCCATTTTCTGCCTATGGTCCTCGACCGCGTGCTCCTCGCGCTTCATGACCCGCTCCGTTTCCCCGCCATCATCAAAGATTTTGCGCCATACCTGGGCGTCTTCTTCTCATCCTGTGGAGTCAAACGTGCCTCCATAACTGGACCTGGGCTTTTCTATCCTTCTTTGCCTCTACATACTTTCACGCACCGGCCCCAGTCGGCGCCGCCACGTGCATTGCACTTCGCGGCGGCGGGCATGGATCCCAGCGAGGGGCCAGCAACGCCGGCCTGTGAAACAGCTTGGTGGGGATAGCAAGGGGGCGCTCTCTTCTGCTGCTACCCCTCCCCCGCCTCTCCTTTCTCATCCCCCCCTCCTTCTCCTATCCCTCCCCCCCACATTCGGCTGAAGCAGACGTGCGACGGCCATTCTGGACTCCTGACGACGCGCTGCAATGCGACGCACTGAGACTATCCAACATCTGTGGCCTCTACCAAAGCATCCAGCCAGACCCGTTTTCAAATGCACTTCCACCGCCGTCCACCAGGGTGGAGCTCACCCGCTTCAACGCAGCTCAACCGCAGCGCGGCCGTCTCCCGCTACACCCTCACCCTGGGCCTGGCCGGGGGGCCCGAGCCGCGAAGGCGTCCAGGATGGCCCGGCGCGTCTCCAAGCCAGCCCCGCGCAACCCGGGGCAGCCTCCAGGATCCAGCAACATAGCGCCCAAGCAACCCCCAAGAAGCAAACACCGATGAATATTCTCGCCGACTCGCTTCCGATGGCATCCTGAAGCCTCGAGATAGCTCCAAAAGCGCCCCCAAACCGCGCGAAGACAGCCCCAAGGACGACGGAAAGAGGACAAATTCTGACCTCCCTTGTTTTGTCCATGGCGTGACGCGGCGGCGCCGCCCGTCTCCTTCAAGCCGCAATTCCACCAAAGCACTGGCCTCTGAACCGCAGCGCCGGCGTGGCGGCGGCCATTGCGTAAGTGATTCAAAATGCCCCCCTGCCCTGAAGCGACAGCCAAACAAATCAGGTTTGCACCCTACGCCTTGCTGCGCCCAAAGCCCGCCCCCGGACATCAGCCAGAACAGCTGGGTTTGCAACTTCAAGCCCTGCTGAGTCCATGTGCAGGGATACCAATCCAGGGGGAGGCTTCAACTTTGGTTCTGCCAATGCGAGCGAGCTCTGCTTCTGTGCGTCAGCATGGGTACGTCTTCTCCGCATCCCTCTCTAGGCTGTCTCTTTAGCAGAGTCCACACAAACATCGCAAGAGATGAAAAGCGGCACGTTGTAAAGCAGCGGCTCCCACCACCCCCTGCCCACTCCCTGCAACGCTCGGGGGCCCCTGGTAAGTCGCTGGAGTGAATTTATGGTACTCCGTTTCGTCGCTCGCACTCTCGAGCTCCGAGAGCCGACTAGGAGGAGGAGAAGGAGGAGGTGCGAACGAAACCAATCGGTCCCGTTCGGGGCGGCTACCGCGGGCGCGCGGCGGCCTGGCGACTCAGGTCGCAGTCGTAGTTGTTGTAGGTGGAGGCGTAGTAGTCAGAGGGCACAAGGTTGGAGCTCGAGGGCGAAGACAAAGGAGAAGACGAGGAATCCACGAAAGTATCCAGGGAGCCCGCGTAGGAGTCTAGTATCTTGTTGAATGACGATGCGCACTGCTCCGATCTGATGCTCGTGAGCAGGTTGTCGAAATACTCGACAAAGTTCGCCGTGGAGTATGCGGGAGTGTCGTGCGTGATCAACTTCGCACAATTATTATTGTCGTTGCGTTGCTGTAGATCGTTCTTGCTCTCATCCGAAAACCCATCGCAGGCAGCCGTGTAGATGAGCTCCATCTTCGCCAACCGCAGGTCGAGGGGCTCGAAATCCTTTTTGTTCACAGTGTTGATGAGCATCTGCATCTTCTCAAGCACTGTGTCGTAGAGCAGCGTGTGGTTGGAGGCAATATTCTTCTTTAGGTTCTCCGACAATGCCAGCATCGACTTGCCGCTGAGCAGCGTTAGCTCTTTGGCCCAAGACGCGAGTGACTCCTCCAGCCTGCTCATCGAGACGAACGGGGCGGCGGCAGCGCACGAGATCGCCGCCGATTGGAGAGGGGGCGTGATCGTGTCGATGCTCTGGCCCGCGGAGACGATGTCAGCCCAGGACTTGTTGCTGGCACCGGAAACATCAGCAGGACGACGAATCGCGCGAGGACCGTCAGGAGGAAGGCCACGGTGAACATGTTGCGAGCGATCGGCAAGCTCCAGGACGGCGCGGGCCTTCATGTAGTCAGACTTGGTGAGCTCGCCTCGCCGTAGCGCGCGATGGGCAGCAACTTTCCCAAACGCAGCGGTCGGTAGACCAGCGTGTAGGTTAGAGCAATCCACTTGGCGATGTAGTGACTTGCCTCGAGCCATCAGCTTGATGTCGTAGCGGTCGACGGCGTCCACCTCCACAAAGGCCTTGAAGGGAGCACTGTGCGACGTCTTGTAGTACTGGTCCCGCTCATAGCGGCGTTGTTGTGCAGGCGTACGAGGCGTACCAAGGGTGCGCGCAGAAACCCATGACCGACAGCGTGGCATCACGCGACTAGACTCCACTCGACGGTGGAGCAGCACAAGGAAGATGTGGAAAACGATCAGCAGCATCGTGTAGACGCCATGTCTTGTATTCCCGCGCCGCGGCGGGCGTCCGAGCGCATGAAGGGGCCCGTGCAAGCGCGCGCCCTGGGAGCTCTTGCACCAAAATGGCTACGGAGAAGGAGGAGGAGGACGGGGAGGAGGAGGAGGAGGGGAAGGAGGAGGAGGAGAAGGAGGACAAGGAGGAGGTGAGTTAAAAGTGAAAGGGTCAAAAATGCTG